GCTGCAAAAGGGTTGAATGTGGTAATGTTGACCCTGTCCGACGAGGTAGCAATGCGTGAAATATGTCCGCTTGTCGCTGACGCAAGGCGAGACAGGACGGGTCAGTACGAAGACGTTGTGTCGCCTTAACTACACGCACTGACGTTGTGCAGGCAAGAGGGTGGCGAGCAAGGCTATGGGAAATAGAAGGAAAACATTAGGCCTGTCCATGTGATTGTGTGAAACGTGAAGTGGCAGTCGTTCGTCGACCGGACGAAGTCGGCTGAATACATTTCACAAATGTATGATCTGCCGTTAGTGTGAAACAGATAGTGACAGACGAAAAATATGGCCGTGGACCGGCGCTCTCTTCACGCTTCAATGACCCCGACCAGCCGGTCCGTTCTGACCGGCGGGCCGGTGGGCCGGTGGCCACGCGAGCTGTAAACCTGCGGCTGGTCCGGCGGCAGCGGAGTCGAGCGGAGCACTCGACTCTTCGGCCAATGGCCATGCACTCAGTTGCTGGGGCTCGACGAACTCTCAACAGAAGCCTCGTCTGTACGTGCACACACACACACACATTCCCTCGAACAACGAAAGCATTGATGAAGGTGTGAAGAGAAACTGGCTTTTGAATGATGCTTTAGTGACTTGTTGTGACTCGGCTTTCCATTTCGAAGGAAAAGTCGGTATTGGACACGTATTCTTGTTGTGCCAGGCGATTTATCGAAACCCTGTCACTGGTTGTGTCTGCAGGCATGCATGAAATGATCTCATCCGGAACCGAAGGAGGACAGAATGGTCCTCCAACACAAGGTTTTTCCGATTACGCGCGTTTCACACCGAAGCAAAAAAAAACAGACAACATCCTGAATTGGAGAGACGAGTTTAGGAAATCGAGAAAAGAGTATGTTATGTCTGTTGGACGGACTTAAGAGGAGAAAGAGAGAGCGACTGAGAGAGCAAGCAGAAAGGACGAGTGAACAAGAAGAAGAGGCTGGATTGGCGTCAAGTCTGGCTAGACCTATCACGATAGGCATGACAGGAAAATTGCATGCACACAATAAACAATAGTGCATACACAATCACGAGTCAATATCAGAAGTTCGCAGACAAGTTTATTTATTTGTGCA